TACAAAAATCATGATAGTAGAGTGGAGCAGACTTGCATAGTGAGCGCCCGGTGGAATGAGAGGAAACGGCCAGGCCAGTGGCCGGTGTGGAGGTCTGGCTCTTTTCGGCCAACTCACATTCGGCCAGTTTTTCAGCCCGTCGCACCAACTGATCCGTCAGCCTGGTCTCCGTGCTAGTCTGCACCCCTGGCCTGCACAGAGATGTCGACTCTGCGTCGGAGCCTTCACGCAGCTGGGTCTCCGAGAGGCCCACTGTGAGGACACCGGAGGTCGGCGCCTGGAAGAAGAAGCCGCAGGGTGCGTTTGCATCTTTGGCCAGTCGGTAGGAGTTGATGATTTCGTTCTGCGCGCCGTTCAGGTTTTCGAGTGAGTGTACACCATAGGTGGCTGTGAGTCCTGCAGATGCAAATAAAAGGCATGCCATGAGCTACCGAGTAAGGTCTATCTTGACCGAAAAGGCAAAACTAAAGATTACAAAGTTGGGCGAGACAGTAAATTCTCCCCTGTCCCCCCAGGGAGTCTTGCCCGGTATTTTGTCCAGTGTGTCTAACGCGATTACTCACTCTCCTCCGAAAAAATAAGTCGAGAGAGCCAGTGTTGAGATTGAGCATAATGACTTTCCATACGTTCGCACATTCATCGAAAGTAACCAAACTGCCTTCCATAGGTTGTCTTTCACCGAATGTTTAACTCTTTGCATGCTTGACACAACAATAGTGTCAGTTTTTAAGGCTCAAAGTGAACTGATTGCATCTCAAAAGATACAGGGAAGTTTTTGAATTACTGGGAATTGCTACTGAGGTGAAGGCAGGTGCAGCAAAGAAAATGTATTCAAAGGGGATAAAATGGAAAAAGTACAGTAAACACACACCCCTTAAAAGCTGACAAATATTCCTTTGAAGCCAAACTCGGCTCCTCATAAGCATAAACACGCGGACGCACTGCAGAGTAATATGTTAATGGAACCTTTGAGTTGAGATCAGTGGAGAATTTTCAAAGTGGATCTTCAAGGGCAAGAAACCGAGAGCTATAATCTTATCAGCCGCCAACAGTGATTAGCACTCAAAGAGACTGAAGTGGAAAGGCTTTAGGCAAGGGGAGGAAGATCTCTTGGTGGTAACATTTCGTGGAGTGAAATAAAAAGAAAATTCATAAAGGTGAAGAAATATATTGACCAAGAAGTGGGAAAATTCGGTGAAAGCAGTAGAAAATTTCCCAGAAATCCTTAAGGCAAGACATTATTTATTCAAATTTCGGTAACAGTCGATTATAGATAACACTACGGCAAGTAAAAAACTTAGAACTCTGTAATACAGTTTTTACAGGTGAGGTTTTGCGGGGTGCAGGAGATAAAATAAAGGAAATATATCGAACAAAAGCAGAACATAATAGAGAACATTATCATAAAAAGCTAGGAAAAAGAGCAACATAATTGAGAAATAAATTTAAATAATAAATAGTAAATAAAGTAAAATCAAAATTAATTAATTACATTACATTACATTAAATTGACTAATTTGATGATATTTTAAAAACAAAATAAATAACCACTACCTCAAGTCCCATATTACAGAATTCTGGGGTTTTAGGTTTTCATGGTGTTACCTATAATAGACCGTTACCCAAATTTCTACACCAGGACCCCCATTACTGCGGTATGTCTATTTCTATGAGATGATGCCCGTAGTTTCTGGACAGGCGTTTGATCATTAACATAAGCCAAATAAGAAGACATAGGCGAACGATAACATTTATGCCATTCCTGTTTAAATTCCCAACTGAAATGTTTCTCTGGAAAAAACGGAATAAGCGATGCCAGGGTATCCACAAATGGTTCTACTGAACTCCCGTGTTTGTGGCTCACTTTTGTGTAGGAAGCTAAAATTGACCGTTTAGCTTTGTCAGTCACTGTGTCCAACTACATCGTCAGTTGACTGATAGGCTTGGGCCGTCGACTGGTGCATGGAAAGGATATTGAGGCCGACGCTGGGGTCTCCATCTACTGCGGCGTATCCGCGTAATCTTCACTATAATGAAGCTGACGCGCCTGAATTTATAACGCCGCGTTAAGAGTCGGGGTAGTTCAGTCCTTATCGGGACAGAAAGTTGGGCTAAGCTGGCTTCTTCTTCTCTAAACGATCTTTATTAAAGGCTCACACCTCCGAGCATTCGAGCCATCCATACGGCATGCAATGGGAACCAGCTTGTGTGTGGTACGTGTAGACGGCCTACTTAACGTTGTCTTTCACTGCGCTCACACCCACCCCTGATCGTCTTTACGCTCTCTTGCCATAAGAGCATGGTGGATGAGAGAGAGCGAGGAGGGTGTGCGTGTCTGCCCCTCTGGGAACTCGTTCACGCGCAAACCACCGCTGCTGAACTGAGCGATGTTGTGAAGGATTTTTGCAAGCTTCAGCATAGCCATTTTTCGTCGTATGGAGGTCGTCGTTTTATTGTGAATGAATAGGAGAATACCCCCCCCCTAAAACCAATTC